GCAGACGAGGAGCGGTGGGAAGGCGGGGGGGCAACGTGGGGGGGGGACACACCACCTCTGGAAGCACCCTGGGCCCCCTGTGGTGGTGGCAACTGACCCCTGCCCCGGGACACCCTGACTCACCCGGTAGAAGAGTGGGATGTTGTCGTAGAGGAAGGGGTACACGAAAGCTGCTGTCCGCAGCACCTTGCTCAGCCGGGGACGCTCCAGCTCAGGGAAGCTGTGAAGGGGGAACAGGGCAGGGGGACATGGACCCCTGTCAGCCCCCCACAGTGAGGACCCCGCAAGCACCTTGGCTTTGGGCCAGACCCACTGCCTGAGCAGGGGGACCACCCCCCCCCAGAGACACTCTGCAGGACCCCAAAAGCTGAGGAGGAGGAGCCCCAGTCTCCCTCCAGCTGCAGCGCTGGCGCTTTTACCCAAAACGTACCGGGAGTAGCAGGAGAGGCCGGTGCAGACAAAGGAGTTCAAAGCGGCCGCTGGGACAAAGTAGTGGTGCAAAACACCACTGACCCAGTGGTCTGGCATTGCATAGGCAGCAAATGCAAACGCACAGCCTGCAAGAGAAACGCAGCATCATGGGGCCAGGGGCCCCCCCCCATCCCTGTCTCCATCCCCGCCTCCATCCCCGTCCCTGTGCCGGTCCCTCTCTGCAGTGGCTCACCCAGGCTGTAGAGGCTGAGGGCTCCATAGTCGCAGAAGTAGCAGATATGGCGGGCACGTGCTGACATGGAGCTGAAGGTGTGGGCGCAGCTGGAGGCAAAGGGGTAGAGGCAGACGAGCAGCAGGTAGATGAGCAGGGGCCAGTGGTAGGGCTCCTGGCAGAAATCCAGGGAGGATGAGAGCACCAGGAAGCGCCACACGAAATACCTGCGGGCACAGCATATATTGGGGTGAGCTCCGTCCCTGTCCCTGTCCCCATCCCCATCCTTGTCCCCATCCCCACCTCCAGCCTTTCGTCCCCATTCCCATCTCCAGCCCCTCCTCGTCCCCATCCTTGTCCCCATCCCTGTCCCCATCTCCGCACCTGTCTCTGTCCCCATTCCCGTTTCCATCCTTCCGTCATTCCCAGCCTCGTCCCCGTCCCCGTATCCATCTCCATCCCCATTCCTGTCTCTATCCCGTATCCCCCTGCCCATCGCCATTCCTGTTCATGTCCTCGTCTCTGTCCCTGTCCCCATCCCCACCAGGTCGGTAGGAAGTGCGTCCAGATGTTGACTGTCTCGTTAGTCATCTGGAAGGAGCTGAGGATGCAGTCAAGGGCTGAGCTCTTGGGGTGCCGGTACCCTGACATGATCCCATCCTCCCAGAAGATCTGTGGGGACAGCGGGGCTGGTCAGGGGACACACCGGGGGGAGCGGGGCAGCCCCAGAGAGCTGTTCCGGCCTCGCGGTGGGTGGGGAAACTGAGGCAGGATGGGCTGGGAGTGCCTCACCAGCTGGAGCAAGGGCGGGTGGGGACACCAGGTGATTTTTCCACCTCGGATGAGGGAACTAGGGTGAGAAACCTGGGGGCAGAGCCCCACCAGCACCCAGCCACACGTACCCGAGGCACCTGATGGACCATGAAGATCTGTGGCAGCTTTATCGTCAGCATGGCAGGTCTGAGGTGCTCAGGGCTAGAGGTGTTGGGGCACCATGGCACAGCCCATGTCCTGCGGAGATGGGACAGAGCCCACTGGGTGACAGGGACGGGGCTGCAGGAGCCAGGAGAGCCGCCCCCCCCCCAGCCTGGCTTTTGG